TTTGCAAGAAAAGAACCAAGCTCAGAGAACCCCAAGGACTCCACAGTTACTTAAAAGAGACCTTACCCATTATCTCCTAACAGAAAATGATTGATGGATACAGTCTCTTCCATAGTATGGGATAAAGCCATGGGGAGAAGGGAACAAAAGGACCTTTTATTTTATCCCATATCAGATGAAAATCACACAAGCAGTAAACCATATTAGTTACTGTGCATCCCAAATAGAAACCATAGTTCAATCTGATTCCACAGCTACAACCAACTTCCAAACAGACCTGAGCAACATTGTGCTATATTTCATGCTGGCATCATTAAATACCAATTAAAAAAAAAAACACCCTAACCTATAGGAAACCCTTCTTAGTAGAAGTTAAGAGAAGGTATACCCGAGCATATGTCCTTGCAGAAAGCACAATATTTTGATTGCGGAACTTCCTGAAAAACTCTGCATCATAATTTTGCTCAGCAGCATGTGGTCCTCCAAGTATTTCCTAAAGAAGAAAACATTATATTTCAGATATTAATTCTCAGAAATGCTTAGCACGTGATATAGGATGCTTCCTGAAGCAATGACAACTTTGCTGGCATGTACCGTCTTATCCTATGCAAAGAGAGACAAATCAACTAAAAACAGGAAAAAATACTACACTTGGATTGGAAGTGCCTCTGGAACAATAAGCCTTCCTCCTGTCCAGGATTTGAATAACTCCAACTCCATTCTCCTTTAAACATGCCAGGAGACTTGGCTCTTTCCCCAGGTTTTGGGCTAGAGTAGGATGTGGGCTCACTCTATGAGGGGGTTTACAAATTTTTAGTGGATGCTTATTCCACTGAGATAACCATCTTCTTTTTCTGTATTGCTTGTAGTTTTACATCTTTGGATGTAATTTTGTACACTGCCTTCTACCATCACCAGCTCCTTCACAAATCCTTATTTGGCTGCCCCATCTTCACTTAGTATTCTACTGTTACAGCCATTACCATAAATTATCTGAAAAGATTAGTGACTACAGAAACATTTAAGTACAGACAAAGTAAGCTTTATGGTTGTTGGACCTTTAGGAAAGAGGACCTTTCAGGAAAAGTAGTGCAGGGATGACAAGTTGGATCAGGAATGGCACAGGTGGCACTAAAAGCAACAATGTGAGAATTGTCAAAAATCAGCAACATACATGGAAGCTCATACAAATCAGGGGCAAATGAAATAGATGGACAAAAGTGTCAGTTTCTACAGCAGATCACACCGAATGCTTTGGAAGGCCACATGAAGACCATGGGCTGTGGACTGACATGTGGCTCAAGTCATGTGGCACTGCCATTTGAGTGTATCATCGAAAGGTGGTAGCTTTGTATATTTTCACTCCAGGTTTTGTTACAAAGTTATTCTAAAGGCACAAACAAGTTGTAAATATCTGAACTTAAAAATCCGATTTATTAGAGAAAGAAGCTGATAAAAAGGAGAAAACACGCTAGAATACAAGTTATAGCATCCATGTTGCTGAAATACAGTCTTGATGTTACCAGTCCCATTATTTGTGATAACTAAAAACCTAATAACAGACTGAAAATATGAAACAAGATCAGATGAAAAATTTAAAAACCTTTGTATAATGAGGTGCAAGTCAACAAATACAACCCACAGTTTAAATGTTACTTTCTGTACCTCATATGTTGCAAGCCGATCCAAATAGGTTAGTAGTTTCAACCTGCTACGACATAATTCTTTCTGTTCCAGAGTTAATCTGTTTTTAAATAAATGGTGGAGAGAATTTTTACATGTTTTCAAAGACTGCTAAGAAAAAAATAAACCAAATAAACTCATACATGTTGAGATACAGTTTTAAGCAAGGAAAATATCTTTTAAAAAGTAATTTCAGTCTAGCTTTAAGTATGACTAGCTGTATGATTTGTTTACCTGGATGTACTGTACAATACAACTGGAATCCAACTAAATGTCATGTATTACATAGTAATGACCCTGATTCAGACTGCCATGCATAATTTAGAATTTGCATCTAAATGTTTCTCCTTTTGGAGATATTTACCTGCACTGCAGGATTTTTTATTATATACACACTCAGATCTCATTTGAATGAATACTCAAGAGGAACCATTCACATGCTGGTTAAGAACTCAGGGAGTTGAAGTCTAACACCACTAGAGAATGTCAGGTAGAAAAAGGCTGTTTTAAAGCAATCAATTGTGGATCAGACAACTTAACTAAAAACTATTAGTGTTCGATTGGTGAACCTGTTTCTACATTTTAAATCTCAACAAAAAATTCAATAAACAGAACTATTTAGTACTGTTTAGTCAAATACTTATATATTACTCCAATTGGAATTAGAATATATTTAATTCTTCACAAGCATGTGTATGTGAAGATTACAAAATAGCAATAAGAGACTGAGCTTGGTAATTTCATTTACTTTGAGAAGTTTACTGATTCTAGAAGTTTTTGACGCTTTATGGCTTCCTGCTCCTTTCTATACTCTGCTTCTTCTTCTGGTGTTAAAAACTCTTCATAAAGTAGTTCATCAATGTCTACATCACCTGGTAAGATAAATCTGGGAAAACAACAAAAATTAAAGAATAAAAGACCATTGTTATTTCGTCAACTACCAACTTTTCTTTGTTCAATTTACAGCTTTTGAACTTTGAAATTACAATATGTTTTTTTAAAAATTGAAGGAATACTCAGCAAAAACAAATCCATGAGTGTTTTTGCCCTTTTCACCAGATAGGACTTTTGTTATTATTATTTATGTACTAAATGAAACATTAAGTATTTCAGTGTAATTAATGGGTTTATACAGATACAATAAGGTATTGGTGAATACCTTATTTAAAAAGTACTGCCATTTGTACTTTTTATTTAAAAAAAATAGGCTTGGGTATGTATAACTTATTAAGGCTACAATTTTAAAATGTTCAGATGTACTTAGACGCGAAACTGGATTTTAAAGAAGTGCTTATAAAACTGGAGGCAATATGGTTCTCTCAAAGATAATTAATTAAGAAACAGAATATGAAAGCTATGTCATGTAGTAAATAAAAATGCATACTTTTTGCTTCAGAAAAAAATTACTGATATATGAATATATTATGAGTGTGTGTGTCCATATATATATATATGGATTAACTGGCTAAAACCTTTATTTTGCCTTTTGATAAAATTTTGCCAATGGATGTTTAACAGAACAGTTGGACCTGAAGTGACAGGACTGTCATTTACAGCAAAACAATGTGATCTATTTATATCATTTCTAGATCACTTGATGATTAAAATTGTCCCAAGTGGGATTTAAGGACTGGCCCATAGTCCAGGAACTACAAGTGGAAAAGGATTCATGCTTGTAGCACTTTCAGAAAGAAGACTGTGGCCATGATGTCATGAGTCTAAAGTCATGAGTACATTTGGGCTGCCTGCTCCTTACTTAGCAGAATAGGGTCAAACTTATACTGAAGTACTGCAAGGAAGATTACAGGCATGAAAGATTCCAAGAACATTATTTCTACTGTGAAAAAGTGTTCTTGCATGTGTTCAATTCATATTTCAGTCTAATTTTATTGTTTTGAAAATTGTTTTGTAAAGCAGCCAGGTTCATGGACTCTATTTTCCTGTAAGATTGTAGAATTCAAAAGGAACCAGAGAATGTTCCTCATATACTGTAGTTACTTAATATGCATCCATCACAAGTTATTTTTAATCATGGGCTATAAGATTTTCTTAATACAGACAGCAAGAGAAGACAGCAGAATCAGTAAACCATTCCAACAAACCTGCCACCATCTTCTCTTTTCCCTGTAGCTATAAGAGCCTCCAAGTCTGTCCCCTTTAAGCCATATTGCAACAATTCTTTAGCAGCATCCACATTTTCAGGAACTCTTTCCAGGCATTCATGAAGTACCCAAGAACGCTTCTTAATTTTGCTCTGCTCCACAAAAAAGTAACAGGGAAAAAAAGTACTTTTACTTTTTTAGAACCTTCAGATAATAAAGTGAGGAAGTGCAGTTACAGGATGCTCTACTATATCAAGTTAATCTATGTGTCCATCTAGAACTGTATCATCTAGGCAGCCACTCCAAGAAATATTTTCTTCAACATTTCAGGCAAGAATCCAGTAGATTATATCCAATCCATCAGCAGGCTTTAGAATTCTCCATTAAATGGTCCAGATAGAATCATGGTTCAATTCTACTTTTAGATACATGATAGAAAATATTGGTTTTCTTGGCTAAAAAAAAATAATAAACCCCAAAATATTGTAACAGCTTGGGATCCAAATATATCTTCATCAAGCACAAATGCACTTCAGTTTGTGCAAGAAAGCTTTGTTAAACACATCCCATTTTCCCATATAACTCCTCCCCATAACACTGCAGAAAATCTCTTAATCCTCAGGAATGGCATTTGGGGTACACAGTAGGAGTGAGGAGGTAAGTAACCCTACTTATTAGCAAAGTTGTATTTGAATACATCCTCTGGAAATATCCATATAGATATTGTTTTTCCATAAGAAAACCTACCAAATAATCCTGAATAGAAGCCACACTAACAGCAGATTTCCTCCACTGCCTCTGATAAACAAGGTCAGAATCAAGTTCATATGTTTGAGCTAATGACAAAGCTTCCCCATATTCTTCATTATCAATCTAAAAGAAAAGCATATAGAAATTAAAGCAGTCCACCTGGACTCCATTACAGGAGTTAGCTTCTCTTATGCAAAACATTTATTGTACTTATTTTAACGTTACAAATTTAGATTTATTCAGAGTCAGTAAAAGCATGTGCTATTCACATATAATTCATGAGATAGTTGAGCCAAAAGCAATTGGTCAATATGTAGTCTGAGAGTGGACAAACTGTTGCCTTCTGTATGTTGCTGTACACCCAGCAATCCTACACTAATGGTGAAGGATATTGGGTATCCAAGTTGTAATTCAGTAACAGTCTGTATATGGAATTTGCAAACAGTACATAATAATAGGTGCCCCGTCACTCAATTTTATATACCAGTCGTGTGACAATTGCTGCGCCACCACAAGGAGAAGAATTTTTCCTGAGGTACTGCAAGTATTGAATGTTAAGCAAGGAAAAGAGATATTCTCATGGTGGACATTTTGTGCTGAGGAAAGGCATTAAACTCATGCTCATTTATTAAATGAGAAAAAACTATGAAAAGAGTCCACTTCCATCAGTCTTCCCTAAGAAAATCAAACAAACAGACAGTACTTTTTCATGGAGTGTGAAAACAAATGCATATACCTTTCCACAACTGCTATCCTAACACTTGAACTGGAAGGCAAATCTAATGAAATCAGTGCAACTCAAAACCTAACCATCTAAAACACACAAGTAAGCCCAGCTCCTATAGTATCATAAGGATTTTTTAAAAATTGTCCTTACTTGGAGAGGGGCACACATTTCATTCTTACCTTCCTTTGGTACAATTCCTCAGGGGTTGTGGATCTGAGATTCACAAGCCGATAATTCTTCATAATTGTGCGAGGACGTTTCCTTGGAGGAGCGAAACGCTCCATTTCAGTCACAAAATAAAGTCCTTGCTTAAGGTAGCCAAAATAACGGGCCTTTGCAGACATTTCATCATCTGAATCCGAGTCATCTTCTCCTTCATCTTCATCGCCAGGCCTATCTGAGCGCGATCTCTTTGAGGCAAACTTTACCTCACACTATAAAGAAAGCAATTCTTACTAAACAGTGCAATGTATCACACTGAAGTCTGCCAGGCTTTAGGATACTAAGAGGCAATAAGCTACCGCAATTCTCAAAGCTGCTGGAAGCAAAGAGAAGCAACAAAAGATCACTAGAAAATGACTTCCTTCTCAAGGAGCCACGTTATTACACTGGATAGGACATTAGCATAACCCTCCCCCCCCCCGGTAAGGATTTGGTACATTCCAACAGATCAGAATATGCTTAATAAGGATGTTTCTTAAGTCTAGGGGGGAAAAAAAAAGGAGAAGAGCCATTTGAACTCTGCATGTCATTTTTTTCTAACAAATTAAATGCTGGCATTAAATTGGGGGAAAAGGGACAGTGTCTGTCACTATGCAGCATATTACTGAAGTAGCAGCAGTGTCTACTGAATATTAAAAATTATTTTGAAAAGGAGATTTTTAAGATCTCCACTGCAAAGCTATATGGGTCTACGTGTGATCATGGTTATTTTTAAAAAGCAGTAAAATAATTAGAACTGCCCAGCACCGCACTGAAAACATGCCCATACACACAGATGTGCATGCACATCCACACACATGGACAGCACCAAAAATAATTAGCCAATACCTAGTTAAACCTAAAGCTCAACCTTAATTAACTGAAAATAGACTTGCACTAATAATAACCAATAAAAGGTAACATCCTGAAGAATTTGGAGGTAATGGTAAGCAGGAGCCAGAGGAGGATAAAACAAGGCAAAATACCAAATGGAAAGAAGAAACTTAAGTTAGAGAAAAGAAGGCTAAGAATACAATCCTGTATATGTCTACTCAGAAGTAAACCGTAATGAACTCAGCGAACCTTAGTTCTAAGTAGCTAAACATAACCCACAGCCTAAAAAAATATCATATGGATTCAATGGATCATACTCAAAAGAATGAACTAAAGGGCAGAATTGAACAGAATAAAAAACTGCATTTGCATTATTTCACAATGTAAAATAAAAAAAAACCTCAGACAGTGATAAGATCTGAAGAGAAAGTATAAAGCTGGCAACTGAACAGAAAGAGAAAAAGTAATATTGTCAACACACAAAGAAACATAAGAAACTGAAATAAAAGAATAAAAATGGGACAAAAAACAATCCGTCTTTGAAAGACCAGGCCTCAAAGCACATGCAAGCAGCCATGAGGATCTTGCACAAAGAGAAGGTGAAAGACTCCAAAGAAGGTTTATCAGGGATAGATAAGACTACATGAATATAAGAAGCAAAGAAATTATGACATTTAATCAAAAGGGAACCCCCACAAGAATGAAGATAAAGAGTTTAGCATGTAAACACAGTTTCATTTACCATCTATTTAGACAGGTTCTATTATAAAGTTATAAAAATGATAAATGTCTCATTATACTGGGGCTTAAAAAATATGCTATTGGTACCTTTGTGTGCAAATACATTTCCTTAGGATTATTTGAAGAAAACATGGTAATTTTATGGTCACAGCTTGCAAGATATGCCATTTTAAAAAAAAAATGGAAAGCATTCCTTCAAAGGAAGATACTCATTAAAAAGTCTTTAAAAATATTCATGATTAATGAAGACAGCAAACACTATTGACTTTGGATTTAAACTTCCTATAAAGAAATGAGCACATGATTGTGTTTCTGTATATTCTTGAATATTATGGAGATGGCTTCCTTTCTTTATATTAGTTTTTTAATGTTCATTTTCTCTCTAAAAAGTGCCAAATTACCTATGACATTTGAAGATTAACCCGCTGTATTGACAAACAGGTAAAACAATTCAACTGAAACCAAATTAGCTGCTTTACTTAGGAGCTGGAGAATATGTATTTCCAGAAACCCACATGCCAGATTTATTTGGTACAACCTATCCATCTATTAACTTAAACTTCCCAATTTGGCTTTCTGTATCTGTTATTTACATTTAGCACAACTTCTAAAATTACCTCCAACTCTGACCACGTAAAAGCTAGACTCTCCATTTCTGTTTTCTACTTACTACAGAATGTGTTTCAACTAAGAGAAGGTTCTAAACAGCAGCTTTTCAAAACAGAAATCATTGTTTCTTCATCCTAGCTGTTCTGGGATTACCCCATCACAGCACCTAACAGTTCCTTAAGTATGTGCAATGTAGTTCCATAACACATCTTAATGCAGATTTTACCCCTTTAATATCAACCTTTTTCCTTCTATTTGCTTTATTTTTCCATCTTGTTCGATGAGCATTCTAGAGCACTCAAAGGCTGCATGTTATTGTGTGATTTATTAATTGATCTAATTAAGATATTGCCATAATACAAAATTTGAAATGAATATTGTGATGAAAACTTATCACATCAAACCACAAGACTGTTTGATATCATTTCATGCTATGAAATACAAAGCACAGACTCTATGCTATCATTTTATCCTGCAAGCACATACAAAGAAGATTTAAAGCTTTTACTTTCATCTTCAATGATCATTTAAAATTATGACACTGTCAAACAAACCACAGTTAACATTAACTACATCTTAGGGCATGGGCATAATGCTCAACCATGGAAGAGAACATTTTTAATCTCCTGCTGGTAGGCATGAGAAAGAAGGGGACTGTGCTCATCTAAGACTCACTATGTGCAGAAGAAACTCTAGGGTTTCTTGCATTATGACAATGCAACCGATCTTCTTCCAAACATATCCTGTTTTATACTGACAAAGGAAATTCTTTTTTATTTCTTTTAAATAGATACAGGAAAGGTGACATGTACAATTAATATCCTTCTTTGGTTCTGCAAATACTTCCTACCTCCAAGCACAGAAATCCTCCATCATGAGCTGATGTGACCTGAGGGGAGCTTTCAAACCATTCACAGGATTTCCCCAACAGGTTTTTCAAGTTCTTCACTGATGACACTGTCAGAGCACCTGAACCGCGAGCCAAAATGACAGCATTCTCCCCCCACCAGTTTATATCTATCAGTGGATAAAAAGATGCTTTGTCTGGGAGCGGGGGATCAGGGTGGAAAAGACAGAGAGAGAAAAGAAAAACATTTCAGGCATTTGAATAGAATAACTTCAATTATTTAATAAG